GGGGGGTGGGGGTGGGTATTTTTTTTTTTTTTTTACATTCCATGTTGAATGGTGGGTCACCTTGGATTTTTTGTTACCTGTCAACTGAATGGATGAGAGAAAGCCAAGATGGTCTAATTGGTTCTTGTTTGGTCTGGGGCAATTGGCCAGCAGGTTATTTATGAAAAATGTTTAAATGTGAGACACTGTGCTGGTCCTGAGGGGCTACACAGTTCAAGACTTAGACTCTACACCCATGCAGTGTGTATTTCTTATTGGGAATGAACTTTACATAGGGATAGTATATGTGGTTGGCATGCTTTTTCGGATATACCTGAGAACACAGTCTCCAGGATCTAGTCATGAAACTATAGGAAACAAAGAAATTTAAGCTCAACCATCATTTAATGTGGTGTACCGTGGCCAGGCTTTGGGTTGGTGCTGAGACTGTAAATATGGATCTAACACCGTTCCTGCCCTTGAGGAGGAGGAGGAGGAGGAGCGGTGAAGAAGCGAATGAAGGCAGATTAATAATATTGAACACTTACTATATATATGCAAGCACTGGGATAAGCCCTTGAGGTGACAGTCCTCTGAGTTATGTGCAATTATCAGTCCCATCTAGAGGACAGAGGTACTACTGGGAGGCCAGGTCACTTGATGTTGGTCACACAGTTAGTGACAGAGCCAGGTATCAAACCTGGGTGAGGTTTCTTCCAGGCTCAGGCTATGCTTTGCATTTAAGCATTTTCAGTGGCAGAGTGTAAACTCCCCTCCTGTGTCAGTTTAAGTTCATTGAGAAACAGACACCAAGATGGGACTAGATGAGCAAATGGCTTATGGGGTGGGGAGGAGCGGAGCACTTGAATCTGTGAAGGATGATGGGAAGGAGCTGGGGGAGGGGGGAAAAGCTTCGGAATGTGTGTAGGCAGGTCTGACTCTGTGAAATGAGAGAGCAGAAAGGGCACAGTGGGGTATTAAGAAAGCCTCAGTGGGCCAGTTGAGGGGGGGCTGGGTCTCCTGGCATAAGTTGCCTACTGGGCAGTAATGGCCCTAATCGAGAAGCTTGCCCTACTCAATCACCAGCTGGGAGCAGCCCTAGAGGAAAGTCGCCTCGGGTGAGTGCCACAATTAATTCCAAGGTATGGCAGCTGGAGGTTGTTGGTGGGTTCTCTTGAGGGAAACTCTAAGTGACACTCCTCGTGGCCACTACAGTCCACCCCTTGTACCACATAGATCAGTCCTTCTCTCCCATCTTCCCAAATGCTATTCTTGAGTCATCTCAGAAACATGAAAATCTTTTGTCCCCGCAGAGGGGATATTGGAGTTCTGTTTTAAGGTCACCCTGTTAGGAAAGCCCTTCCTTCTTTCCTTCTATTTTGACCCTGCTGTATTGAACACAGGGTCTGCGTTACACACACAGTAAGCCTTCTTTGACACACAGTATCAAACAAGAGCTGTAAAGAGATGTAACAAAGCTGTCTGTTCTATCAGATACCTTGGTCCAAAGGCTCTACTCAGAGTCACCAAATCAACGTTTTAACACCCATTTTATATTTGTTCTTCGCAGGTATGATTTAAGTCTGGATGAAATGAGAGCTTTGACCTTTCAGAGGGTGAAGTTTATCATGGGGCTACCTCTGTTAAAACGTGTGATTCAGGAACAGGTAAGTTTAAATGTTACTTTGCTGTGATGTGTGTATGAGTGAGAGAGAGAGAGAGAGAGAGAAAGAAAAAGATGTTATTTTTGTTTTGTTTGTTTTTGTGACTTGTGGGAGCACGTTTATTTTGTCCCAGGGAAAACTGTCATCATTATGGGGCAATGCCTTCTTCAGCCCCTTTTTTCTGCCCCACTCCCTGATAACCTAATTGATCTTCTTCCCTTGGCCCACACATTCACATCTCCCAAGATCACAGGCCAGGGGGTAGGGGAATCAGCAGAAGTAATGCTATACATGTTCACAAAAGAAATATAATTTGGGGCATAAAATTCAAATATCTGAGAAATGTAATGAACTAATTTTATAGGCTTTTAAAAAAATGTAGGAGTCTTGTTTGAACACTGCCATTCTAAACTCAGTTAAATTATTTTAGTCAGTTTAGCCTCATTAAAAAGAAAGAAGGAAAGAAAGAATATGTGATTAGGGAACTCCTTCATGATGCGAACATTAGGAGCTATATATTTTAGCCACATTTAAATCGATTTCCATTTCATTCAGCTTAATGGCTTCCTTAAACTGAACACTTTGCATTAAACACAATGAAACAAAACAATTCCTGGTGAGAGCCCTAGGAGAAGGGGCTTGAACTGGGGAGAAGCTTCAGCTTGTAGATGGCTGAGGAGTGGAGCTTGGCCCTCTTCTTGCCCAGCACAGTCTGTGGAGGAGGAGTCTGAGGACTGAGGTGGTGGGGGGTCTTCCCCATTCGGGGGGCCACTGAAGGCTTAGTTCTCTGTGGAATGTAGATCAGAGCCAGTGGGGGGCCTGAGGTCCATGTTCAAGAATAGATCCTTACCCTGTCACCCCTCCTTTGTTGGCTGTCCCAAGGAGGCAAGGACGGACCTCAGCATCTTCTTGTCAAAAGGCAGAGCTCTGGTCCCTCCTGTTGAAGTACTGCGGCCACCTCCAAGGTGACAAGGGCACACTTAGATGGAGAGGAAGGAAGGAAAATACCCACATCATGTAGGGAAGGGTACTTACCAAGCCCGAAGAATCATTTCATACCAAGCAGTTTGGCAAAGTGGATTTCAAGCCAGTAAACCACCTCTCAATGGAACAAACATTTTGAGCTGTGAATAAAACCAATGAAGAAAAAAAAAAAAAAACCCTCAAAAGACCCCAACCCTCTTTGGTTTCAGCCACTTTATGAGAGTCTGGCCTCCAGTACATCTGGCATGGGGCTTGTTGGAAGGTGAAATCTTGACATGTGGTCAGTCTCCTGGTCTCTTAATCAGTCCAGTATGTCCTATGGCTTAACTTAGTGTCAATATTCAAGACCCGGATGAGGGTTGATCCTTTGGTGAAGTTTACTAATTGCTGCTTATCCCCCTGAGTCTGAAGGATTAGCCTGTGTAATCTTGCTCCTGATGAAGCTGTTGGTCCCTGGATCCAATTATCTTCCTATATTTGTGGCTCCCTTCGCAGTCTTCGGCAGCCCGGACGACCCCGTCCTGGGTGATTAAGTATAGTTCCTGCAGCAGTCACAGGATTGGCCCTAGACAATCCCTCCAGTTCATTTCTGTGAGTTACTTCAGCCTATCTGGCGCTTCTCTCTGTGTGAATTCACAAAAGCCAATGAACCTGAAGGAAATTAAACGAGTCGGTCGTCAGTGTGGCCGGCTCATCTCTTCGGGTGGATGTCGTGAAACTCAGCAGCACATCTGTGTTTGAAGGCTCTCAAATTCCACCCTGTAAACAGCTGGAGAGGCTGTCCACATCCAGTAATTCTAGAAGAAGTGTTACATGATTCATTCTGCCTCTTAATAAAAATATCGAGTCATGGCTGTACTGCCTGCTCAGAGAGCGTTCCAGGTCTTTCCATCCTTCCCTGGCCCCCATTTCGTGTTGCTGTTAGCTTTTGTGGATGATCCAGTGAACTCCAAGGCAGAACGCTCTGTGTAATGTGTAATGATGATGTTCTCGAGGACAAATGAGGAGTGAGCCTCATTCGTTCCAGGTCTCTATGGACAGTCCACGGGCCAAGAATAAGCCATTAAAATATTTCCACTCTGCGTTTTCCCCTCTGCCATCTGCAATAGATTTGAGATGTTCTGACAATTTCAAAAGGAAAAAAACAATATCTGAGTCTGACTACAGAGTATACACACGTGTGTGTGCACGCACACACACAGTGTGAATAACATCATTGCATCTCACAGACTTTTTCTGCACCTGTTTCCAGTGATACCACATTTGTGCCCTTCAGGCAACTGTCTCTTCTTCCCTTGCGGAAATCCTGCAGGGGGGTGGGGGAAGTCACTGTATTTCCAGAGATGGGGAGACAGAGGACCCAGGTGGGGGATCTACTCTATGGCAGCGCTGAGACTGGAGCTGACAGAGGCTGACCCCCTGCACCCAAATCACCATAACCAATGATAACAGCTCAGGCTTACGGAGTACCTATCTTAGGCCAGTCACAGCGCTAATGGATGATCTCATTTAATATCCACAACATCCAGAATGGTATTCCCATTTACAGATGGGTAAATTGAAGACCAGTAATTGGCCCGGGGCTATACAGCTAGTAAATTGTATATATAACTAGTGGAACACAGATTTAAACCCAGCTGGTCCTGCTGAGTCCACTTCAGTCTGGTGGTTCTTGCCTCTGGCTGCACACTGGAATTCCCTGGGGAATTTTCCAAACTCCTGCTGTCCGGGCTTTGGCTCAGGCCAATCAAATCAGCATTTAAATTTTCCAGGTGATCCAGTGTGTGTCCTTTCTTGGCTTGAATACTCTCTCCATTATCCCTCTTTCCTGGTATTCTGTACTGTCTACCCTGAATTGTTCCCATTCAGCATTTGGTCTCTGGCAACCATGGTTCTGGGCTGACTTATAGGAATGCTCCATCCCAACATTTGCTTTCCCCAGGAGGAAGACAGTTGGGATCAGGATGTTCCTGGCCAACAGGACTGAGGAGTGGGGGCAGATATTTGAATAATGAAGCACCCGTTGTATAACTGATGCTCACCCACCCCCTCCCTATCATCTTCTCTCTCACTCTGAACTCTGCTTGTTCCCATCCCCATGATCCACAGCAGTGCTGGGCATGGCAGCATCATTATTATCTAAACCAGTGGTTCTCAAGGTGTGGCCTGAGGACCCCTGGGGGTACCCAAGACCCATTCAGGTACTACCTGAAAAGTAGGTGTCCAACTATGTGTGCATGACACCAGATTTTCATCATGAACTTCAACCAAAACAACATATGGTAACAGATGGAGTGGGGAAGCGGATGTGAGAGTCTAGCTGTCTTTCATTAAGCCAGATGCTACAATAACTTGTAAAATATAAAACAATGTCATTCTTCTCACTTATTTTTTGGGGGGTTTGGAAATTATGGTTATTTTTCATAAGAATTATGTTATTTACATGTAATCGGTATAGTATTGTTGTTTTTAACAAAATTAAAAAATTCTGTTTTAATTTCTAGTGGTAAATTTTTTTTTTTTTTTTTAAAGATTTTGTTTATTTATTTGACAGAGAGAGACACAGCCAGAGAGGGAACACAAGCAGGGGGAGTGGGAGAGGGAGAAGCAGGCTTCCTGCGGAGCAGGGAGCCCGATGCGGGGCTCGATCCCAGGACCCTGAGACCATGACCTGAATGAAGGCAGACGCTTAACGACTGAGCCACCCAGGTGCCCCTCTAGTGTGGTAAATTATGGACATAGCCTGCATAAACAAAAGCTCTTTGGAATCTTTGACAATTTTTAAGAATGTAAGCAGGTCCAGAGACCATAAAATTTGAGAACCACTGATCTAAATCATCCACTGTTTTTTCTCAGAAAGTCCACTCTCAGATCAGCTTGAAAGGGAACTGGCAGGAGACTTATATTTATATTTATTATACTATGGCTTTCCATTTATATTATATTTATTATAATATAATTATTATTTCAATCAGAATTTTAGTCTCAGTTTGGGATGGTTTTTGTTTTTGTATTTAAAGAAATACCAGGTGGATGATCATATCTAAAATGGAATAAGATTCTGAGGTCAGCTCACCTTAGAAGGCATTTGGGAATGCGGAGAATGGTTGCATTCCTAATTAACCCCTAAAAAAAGGAGCAGCCTTTCCCAGGAAGTTACATGGAAGCCACGGGTGTGTTGTGGAGAAGGAGCTCAGGAGGGAACATGCCAAGAAGGTGAGGATGTCTCCTCTGCCACTAGCCCTTTACACCAGCCCATCCCGCCCAGGCCTGCTCTGCTGCCCACACAAACCAGTGCCAGCCCTGATTGGTCCTGCAGACCATGACCAAGTACACCTCCCCCGCCCCATCTCAGTACTGGCTCCTGACCTACTTTGAGCTCTTGGCTCTAACACCCTAGCCTTGGCTCTGCCCTTGGCCCTCTGGCTTCTGTTTGTACTGGAACCCAGGCTTTTCCTAGTGGGTTGTGACAGGCTGCCCCTGGCTCTCAGTCTTGTGTGCTGCCTTTGGCAGGAGTCCCTGTCCCGGCTCCAGCTCTATGGACTTGGACCCTGGCCACTTGGCCAGCCCTGGCCACAAGGGATGCCGTGGAGGATTTGAGCAGAGATGACAGGACAGAGTGGCCTGTTTACAGAAGTTCCTCTGTGTAGATTGGCAGCTGATGGCCACAGGAAATACTTGAAAGAGCGTGCCAGGGAGTGAGTTGGGATCCACGCAGGGACGGACTCTAGGGTAGCCGGAATCCTGGTTTTCTTTATTTACTGCACTGTGAACAATTTGGTTTAATGAAAACTTCTTATTTTGAGGCTTAGTTATTATTCTTACAGTGAAATATTAGGTTAAAAATAACAGTAATTATTACTTGCTATAATTTGCTAAGTCCCTTCTATGTGCCAGGTGAGGCGATTCATTCATTTTACAACCATTTACTGAACACCTATGATAAGCCAGGCATTGTTCAAGAGTCAATGAACAAAGCAGGCAAAACATACCTGTTTTTATGGAGCTTATAGTCTGGG